GAAAGAATTGCTTTACATAATATGTATGCGTTCTTTTACTGTATTTTCTTGAACACACTAACATACTCTTACTCTGCAGAGAAGCTCAAGCACATATGATGTCTTATTGCATTGCAAATAAGCACTATCCAAAATAAGAAATAATCTCACTAATTGTGAGCTCAACTTGCACTGCAATTGCATTGTATTTAAGTTATTATTGCTGTTGTGATAAAAGCTTTAGCTCAGACATGCATTGAGTTGAAGCAACATTGAAGCAACATATTCCTCCATGAAATCTGTGATAAATGAGATACATTGCAAATAAGAACTCGTTTCAAATGTAAGAAACTCTGCTGTGTATTCTAATGTGTTAGAGTTTGTATGCATCATTTTAGCGCACTTTGAATATGCGTTCAGTGTGTAGCTCAGAATCACTAACACTCTTGCTGTGCATAGAATGTCTAACATATACTTGTTATTAAAACCTTAAAACCTCTAACACATTAGAATTGTCTGAATAAGAATTTATTTGAAATTCAAGAAAGATTTTGAATAAGTGGGAAGCTCCACTGATCATATTGCATATTGAAACTAACTCTCGCTGTTATTCACTGTAAAAAATGGCCAAGAATTTACAGAATTACTGTAATATATTACTGTAGTCAGAAATTTGCTGTGAAATCAATGCATGCCGGGTAATTTTCTTACAAATTACTGTGAAGGAACAGCAGAATGATACTAACATCAGTAATTTACTGCTCTTGTTTTACTGTGAATTCACTTATAAAGTAACTGTGCCACTGTGAGAAATTTAGATGTTTACTACTGCAATTGTTTTGAAGTCACCATAATGATGATTGGTGATCCCATTTTCAGATTTCAGATCTAGTCATGTCAGAAGTGACAAATATAAACATTTGTCAAAACTAAGACAAGCTAGAATATGAAATAAACTTATTGCCTCACTTTAAGATAATCAATCTATTATTTGCATAAACATGAAGATTTTATTTTAGCATTATTTAAGCATGAAGCGTTTAACCACGGTGCAGAAGGGAGGAGCTCCAGGGATGCCAGGTTGTGTAGAAAACACAGAAGTGGTCACCCAGTTGATCCGTGAGGTGAGGAAAAATCTGTCGGTCATTTGGCTCAACCTGGCTAATGCCTACAGATCTAGTCCACATAAACTTGTGACAACAGCTCTGTCCATATATCATGTCCCAGAGAAGATCCAAGTGCTCATACGAGACTATTACAGCAACTTCAGTTGAGATTTACCTCTGGGACAACAACTTCCGCATGGCATCGCCTAGAGAAAGGCATCATTACTGGGTGCACAAGGTCCCAACAGGACTTCTAGCCAAGGCTTGTGACTGGCAGTTGAGAGTGAACCTTGGGAGACAGCTCAAGTTTCCAGAGCAGATTGCAAGTACATCACTCAGGCCTGACCTGGTCTTAACATCTGACGCCTCACAGCAAGTGGTGCTGCTGGAGTTGACAGTTCCCTGGGTGGAGCGGATAGTGGAGGCCCATGAGTGGAAGAGAGCTAAGTACCTCGAGCTGGTGGAAGAACTGTGAACCTATCGAGGTGGGATGCAGAGGATTCCCAGAGCAGTCTCTTCACCGGGCATTCAGGCTCCTTGGTATTAGAGGTTTACAACTGAGCAAAGCCACCAGGAACATCAGTGCAGCCGCTTGAAAAGTTCTCACTGTGGCTGTGGATCAAAAGGGGAGACATGTGGTGTAGCGCGCTGCACCCCGGTTGGGTCGCCCAGATGAGGGTGTCTGATGATCAAAGACCCGAAACACCCTATGAACCTGGGTTCATCACTGAGAATGTGTCCAAGCCGCACCATCCAGACATAGAAGGTGTTTCTTCAAACTAAAATGAACAGTTTTGAGCAATTCTCATTTTTATACAAGAAAAAAAAATACTGCACTATTTATCGAGCATTTTTTCTGTTGTCTTAAATTACATAGAAATGTATGTAAAATTACTAAAATAATGTAATTAATAGTAAAATCACCACCAGATGGTGCAAATGGCCCAAAAATCCTAATCTTAATAAAGTATCCTATATGAAGTACAAATACTTCTATAATTTGCATTAAATGTTTATCAGAAAAACTGTTATTTACAGGTATTTCCTGAATTATTGTAATTAAACACCATCACTTTAAAGAAAACGAGTAAAAAAAAAAGTCAAATGACTGGCAGCAAAAGAATATTAAACACCAACAGATCTCTCAGGATCTCAACATCTTCACTTATTACTAACCAGTTTGATTTCATTTCATACAAAAGTTTTTGTTGAGAATTAACCAGAGGTTTAGATGTTAATGTTTTATTGAAAATAAAAAAGTTTGATTGTACCGTGGTGGAGATCAGTGTTTGTTTTAGATGGGCTCTTGACCCTTGATTTAGTAAGCCTCTGATTTTCTCTGTAGGGTTTAGACATTGGTTTTTTAAACACATTCATTAGCTAAGCAAATGCATTAGAGAATCTGATATGGTCGAGTCGATTACTTCTTGCTCATGTTTACAGAAGCTTCTTCGTGCCATTAGTGTTATGCCAGAATGATACCAATACGAGATTCTAATTTTTTATAAATTAGTATTATTTCATCAATTTATTTCATTAATTTTATTTATTTTTAGTCATTACAAACTGTGAGCTGTGTTTTTCAGATGCACAGAGACATCATGAATCAGCAATGAATCTCAACAATGGTGACCATCAAGAAAAAGCTCTTTTGTGATGTTCAGAGTACAGAGAATGGCCCAAGCTACTGTGTGTTTGTTAGATCATCATCAAAAACTAACCAACATGATACAATTAATGCTTCTCTGTACCTTTGTCATACGAAATATACTTCAAAAGCACTGAGATAAGAGCCCAACTAAAGTAAACAGATCTCCATCATGGTAACATCAAACTTTATTATTTTCAAAAAATCTTCATGGTATTGTAGCTCGTTATGTATCTTTATGTTGTTATTATTATTGGTATTTATTGGAATGTAATTGTACAGTTGTGGTAGTGTTTAGAATGTTTTAAAAACTTGTGTGTGTGTGTGTGTGTGTGTGTGTGTGTATGAAGATGTAGAAAACGTATACAAACAATCACAAGAAGAATATATATATATATTAAAAAAAAATGTTTAGTGAAGGGGTGGATTTTTAATCCCCTCCTCTTCTAGTACATAATTAACACATAATCATGGTTTTCTTTAAACTTGTGCATCTATTCTGGTATTTATGTTATGTGCAATGTCTGTATTTGGTATCTGAGAGCTAACAGAGGGTATGACCCATGTCAGGAATGTAGTAACAGTGTTTACTCATTTAGCCTGGCTTCCAGAGAATAAATATGTATTTGTTTTGATTTAAGCAAGGAGAATCAACAGCTGCCCAGATGAGAAGTGCCATCACAAAATTTGTGATTCACCCATGATCCTTATGGATATTTATGGATATTTGCTTACGAGTGGACTTAGTGTCTCCAAGAAACTGTCTTTAGAATTGTGTAAAGAATTATCTGTGCTGTTAATCTATCAGAACCTGTAAAAATGACATCAACCATCCCTAAGACTATAAATACTTATGTTTCTGTATTCTAAGTTAGTTGCAGGCTGGCTCATTTTCCACGGCATTTGGAAGTGTGGAGAATTGTGTCTTCAGTAAACAATCTGTCTACTGATTGAACTTCAAATTTGACTCCTGGTCTTCATTGAGCATATTGTTCACTCTATGGGGTTTAACTCTAATTCCCCTATATGTTATGCTTGTCAAATATATTACATTTAAGTATAGGCATCACTGCTACATAATTTCATGACATCCATACATTCATTTTCCAAACCGCTTTATCCTCTGCAGGGTTGCGGGGGACTAGAGCCTATCCTAGTATCTCAGGCCACAGGCGGGTACACCCTGAACAGATGGCCATTCGATCGCAGGGCTCACACACACACATTCACACATCCGGACATTTTATAATGTCACCCATGCTGCATGTCTATGGATTGTGTGGGAAACCAGAGCACCCGGAGGAAACTCTTACAGACACAGGGAGAACATGCAAACTTGACACAGAAAGGCTTCCTGGCTCAGCTGAGACTCGAACCAGGGACCGTCTTGCTGTGAGGTGACAGTGACCTAGATGTGAGGTGACCTAATTTCATGACAAATGCAGACCAATTTGCCACATAGTTAAAAGGTGACCCGCAACTGCAGCAACTGGCCAGACTGAGCTTGGCTACCTGATTATTCCAGCAATCAGCCATTTGTGGAATGAAATAGCAGACTATCTGCCTAAACGATCTTTGAAACAGGACAGTATTATGGAGGTATCCTTTAGCAAAGCAGAAATTAAAGCAATAATACAGATTACCATGAATTCCTGGAAAAAGCAATGGGATAAAGGACACAAAATAAATAATTTAAAAATTTTAATTCTTAATTGTTAATAACAAAGGACAAAGTTAAAATAAAGAAATAAAGAAATAATACAACTAAATTACACTAAAACTAAAATACAAAGCTACAACGAAGATACAAAGTTTTGACCTACACTCCAGTGCAGTAGGTGGCATTAATTAACTTCAAATGTCAGTTGCCAAGAAGACAGCCCAGTTTTCCGGTTTGGTCATGTGACGTTCGGGCATTGATTTGTCATGCATTACACTGTATTGTAAATAACATTTATTTTTATTCAGTTTTCCAATATGTTTAACAAAATTAATAAAGATCTAAATTTGTATTACCTTACTGTAAAACAGTCATGAAAACAATCCTGTTTTTTTTTAATCAAGGGTCTATTTCTACTTGGAAATTGCTTTTATTGGTGTAACCACAGGTTAATTTAGTAAAATTACATAGCTAAAAAATCGGCGAAAATCAGCTAATGTAGAAAAACAATTTTAAAGCATAGAATAAATTAGGCCTATTTTTTTTACGCACTAATAAATAATCCTTATCCGTCCAGTAACTGATTCATTCTATTGAATGACCCAGAGAAGCGATCATGTGTCAGAAGTGAAAGTGAAAGAAGGATCTTCTGCAGTTTTGGGCCTTAAAAGCGCTGACGCACCGACTCTTTGTATAAAGCCGAGACGAGTAAACTTTCAAAAGCAGTGTTTAGAAAGAGCTTTACTCCAGACTGATTGTTAGAGCTGTGCAGTGGTACAGTGTGCAGGTGAAAGATGCTAAACACATCGACAAAGACACTGACCGGAGGATTCTCTTTTGAGAACACACGCAGGTGAAACATCCTTAAGCAATAACAATGTGATCAAGACATAAAATAGCTTACAATTTACAGTGTTTGATAAGTATTAATATGCATGCTCTTATGTTTTGCATGTTTGTGATTTTTATATGCTTTCACAGAAATGCTGTTCTTGAAGCAAATTTATCAGAGAAGGGGTACAGTGCGCCAAACGCCAGGAAGACTGGTACCACCATCGCTGGCCTGATATTCAAAGTCTGTTTTATCAAATCACTATTTATGTAATTAATTACTGATTAAATATTTAACACTTCTATGGTGTTTATGTTTTTGACTGGTTGTAAATAAACATAGCAATATGAAATGGTGAATAATTTATAGGGTGACCATACGTCCTCTTTTTCCCGGACATGTCCTCTTTTTTGGACCTACAAAAATGCGTCCGGTCGGGATTTAATTGCCCAAAATGTCCGGGATTTGGCTGTTTTCTTAATCCCGCTCCTGCTGAATCTCTGACCATTGCCGCCTGCTCCCGCAACATTTGTTTCGCTCCCGCGATTTTCGTGTCCACTCCTTTAAACATTCTAATATTGTGCATAATTTGGGCGCATCAAGGAGCAGCTCTCAGGATGCGGTGTATTTAAATATTTTTGAATGAGCGTTCGCTTAGATTGTCAGTCATCTCTCCTTATTCTTGACCTGAGATCAGTAAATCTGACTCCTGCAGATCTTGTTGGATGCAGGGTTGCCAAGTCCACGTTTTTGCCACAGAATTGGGCTACTTTTAAACTATTGCCATGGGTTGATTTTCCCAAGTGGGTTAAATAGTTGAAATATTGCATAAATTACATTTGACTGAAATGCTTGTATTGAAACATTTTGCATTCTACCTATGATAAAACTTTCATGGACTTCAACATTAACTGTTCCCTCCTGGTGCAATGACCTGCCCAGCTCAATCCAAGCAGCTGAGTCCTTAATATTGTCAAGAAACAGCTGAAAACACATCTCTTTCATCTTCATTTGACCCTCTAACTCTAAAACTCTCTATTCTAATGCTACTTCTAATTTTATCTCCTTGGTTTTTTTTTTATTAAAAAGCTTGACCCTCTAACATTTGCACTCTCTATACTATTTCTGTTCTAACTACTTGTTTTATTTATAAAGAAAGAAGAGCCTCTAACACTAGCATTCTCTATTCCTTCTCTATTCTTTCTACTTATTTTATTTTTATTTATTATAAATAAT